TGAACCATATCGAACCTTTTCGATTTCTCCAAAATTGCGAAGAGTACAGTGCTCGAGCACGTGCGAAGTGCTATGGAAAAGGCACGGCAATCTTAAGGTTAACACTATGTTCAATGGCGAGTTTATCGCAGGGACAATCATGCATTCAAAAGCATTAACACGAGAAACAGAACTCTTTTCTGCTTTAGATTTGGATAAATGGTACGAGCAACGCGTCATCGAGCTACTTTGGCATCTTTGGAAGAATTTCAAGAACGTGATAGTGGGTGGGCACTGCTGCGCATACTTGATCTCACAGTCAATGTGAACAAATACAATCCACTGCATGCAGGGTGCAACATTGAGTTGCCTCGCGAAATAAAATTAAAGAAAGCCGTGATAAACGTACGAACTAAAGACAACGCATGTTTGTATGGTCTGTGGTCCGGACATTATATCCAGTTGCAAGACATGGAGACCGGGAATCTTCGTACCCACGTTACACCAAAATATTCAATCTTCAGGATATTGAATTTCCAATGACGATTAAACAAATTACCAAGTTTGAACAGCTAAACAACATATCCATCAACGTATACACCATTTAAGATAAAAAGAAGCAAGAAGAAGCATGTACGATCGTTCCGATACGTTTCGCCAGTAAGAAGGAAAAGCATGTAAATTTGTTATATGTGCAAGATCCACAAGAGTGCAACATGGGACATTTCGTGTGGATCAAGAATTTGTCACGTCTTGTGGACATGCAACTAAGTAAGAAAAAATGCAAGAAATATATATGCGATCGATAAGGAGATATTCACCATAAATACAATATAACAAATATGAAATAAAAGAATAACTCGTAATATCCATTTCTTTTCAGTTGCTTGCATTATTTTTATTCCAACGAAAAACTGGAGAATCATATCATAGATTGCAACAAATTGAATGACTGTGCAGTCATCCTGCCAACAGAGGCTAACAAGTGGCTCAGTTTTACTAATTACAGCAGAAGGGAACGGATTCCATTCGTGATGTACGCTGACCTGGAATGCATTCTAGAGAAAACGCCAAACGAAGAAAAAAAATCGTATGTGTATCAGCATCATAAAGTACATAGTATAGCTTATTATGTACGATGTTCCTACGATGAATCATTATCCGCATTATCCGCAGTGTCGTCGCGATCCGAATTGCATTTCATGGTTCGTCGAGGAACTTAAACAATTGGCGCATCGTATAAAAATTATTCTGCGTAATAATATCCCTATGGAAATTTTATCACAAGAACAGTGCGCAGCATTTTATAGTGCAACGCGTTGTCATATATGCGAAAAATTATTCGCAGTGGGGGACATACGCGTACGCGATCACTGCCATTTAACCGGACAATACAGGGGTCCGGCACATTCAAATTGTAATTTAAATTATACAGATTCCTATTATATTCCGATAGTTTTTCATAACTTATCAGGTTATGACGCTCATTTTATTATTAAAGAAGTAGCCACCGCGTTCGATGGTCCCATCGATGTACTACCAATAACGAAAGAAAAATATATTTCATTTACCAAACATATTGAAGATACAAGTAAAACATCAGACCGGCGAAGTCATATTAAATTGCGGTTCATCGATTCGTACAAATTTCTCAGTATCAGTCTCGATAAATTAGCATCGTTTCTCACTATAAACAAATTAAAAATTGTTCAATCTGAATTTAAACACTTATCCGACAAAGATTTTGAATTATTAACGCGAAAAGGTGTCTTTCAGTACGAATATGTGGATTGCAATGACAAGCTGCAGGATCAATGTTTACCACCGCGCGAGTCATTTTACAGTTCGCTGACAGGTGATACAGTATCTGAGAGCGATTACACGCACGCCGTGAACGTATGGGAACAGTTTTCTATTCAAACCTTAGGCGAATATAACGATTTGCACCTGAAGACTGATGTTTTGTTATTGGCTGATATTTTCAAAAATTTCCGCGATAGTTGTATCAAAAGTTACGGTCTAGATCCCGCGCATTACACATTGCCAGGTTTCACGTGGGACGCGACGTTAAAACATACAAAAATTAATTTTGAATTACTCACAGATATTGATATGGTAATGTTTATCGAACGCGGTATACATGGCGGTCTGAGTCAGTGTTCCGGTAGATACGCAAAAGCCAATAATCAATATATGCAATCTTACGATACATCGAAGCCATCCTCATACCTCATGTACTTTGATATAAATAATTTGTATGGCTGGGCAATGTGTCAACCGTTACCATACGCTGAATTTAAGTGGGTTGATGATACGTCGAATTTTGATGTATCATCAATCCCGCTAAATTCGCTCACAGGTTATATTCTCGAGGTTGATTTGGAGTATCCTCAACACTTGCATGATGCACACGCAGATCTACCGTTCTGTCTGACGCGAACGAAGCTCTCGAACAAACAGCAAGAAAAACTCCTTGCGACTTTATATAATAAGCAGTTATATTATTCATTATCGCAACCTGCAGCAGTGCATACGCCATGGTCTTCGTATCGAAAAGATTCATCGCATACTCCAATTCGCACAATCTTCATGGCTACGCAACAACATAGAATTAAATACGCAGTTTCGAACGCATGCAACAAACGATTTTGAGAAAAATTTATACAAATTAATGAACAACGCGGTATTCGGCAAAACAATGGAAAATGTTCGCAATCATGTCGATGTAAAACTTTTGACAAAATGGGATGGACGATGGGGTGCAGAGGCAATAGTCGCAATGCCCAATTTTCATAGCAGGAGCATCTTTTCAGAAAATTTGGTTGCAGTTGAATTGCGAAAACTCGAAGTGAAGTTTAACAAGCCGATCTATGTGGGTATGTGTATTCTCGACATATCTAAGACCTGCTTGTATGAATTTCACCATGAATACATGTCACCTCTATATCGCGAGAAATGTAAAGTACTGTATACGGACACAGATAGTTTAATTTACCATGTAATGTCCGATGATGTATATGAGTTAATGAAACGTGACATTGCTAGGTTTGATACGAGCGATTATTCTCAAAATAACATATACGGTATACTGCTTAAGAACAAAAAAGTTCCAGGGCTTATGAAAGACGAAAATAACGGAGCTATAATGACAGATTCGTCGGGCTCAGAGCAAAAATGTATGCGCTGAAAGTAGAAGGTAAAAAGGACACTAAAAGGATGAAGGGTGTTAAGAGGAATATTATAACACGAACGATCAATTCTGACGATTACACGCATTGTTTGAGAGAGGAAATTGAAACGAGTCGGCGTCAATCGTACATAAGATCCAAGTTGCATGAGGTATACACGGTATTCGAAACGAAAACTGCTCTCAGTCTATATGATAATAAGTGATATATTATGTCTGATTCGATAAATACATTACCATGGGAACATTATAATATACTATTATAACGTTTATTTGTTTTATTAGCTATTTTATAATTAAATATGTCATTAAATGTTCTAATAAAACTGTATTCATTTTTTACAATACATTATCCTTTTGTATCCATGAATTATGCGAATAGTCGAATCCCAATCATTTAACATATACTTTGTCACCTTGCCTGCGCAACACCTTTTCTACTAAGTATATATCTGGATTGGTGACACTATGTAGTTCATGTTCGTAGAAACCTCCGGCGATAGGTTTCCTGCGCGAGTTTGCGAGTAGGTAAGTTGCAGAATTAGTTGTCTGCACTTTGACGATTTTAAACACTTTGGTTGTTCAATTCGGTGTATAGCCTTTTTCAAAGATAGTTTTGAATTTGCTGACGCATACCAGATCACCCACTGAATTTCGCAGGCGCTGCAATCTTTATGTTACTATAGACTGTGCTTAAGAGCTTATTAGCAATCGTAGGAGTCACATCGATAGGACGCATGCCGATAGTTCGATAGATCGATAGTTCGATGTTTTCGCGTGTTGTATTCGGCGACGAGGCGCGGTAACGAGTCGATCCATTTGTAAGTTCCGTTGAACGTAAACATTTTCCACATGTTGTTCTTTAACGTGCGGTTGAATCGCTCCACAACAGATGCCTTCACTACTGAATAAGTCGAATAATGATTGAGACCGTGTTTCTTCACAAGTCTCTGCAACTCTGTATTGTAAAACTCCTTTCCCTGATCAGTTTGCAAGTTCTTCGGACATCTTCCATCCGTTCGAATTATCTTTGCGAATGCCTCAGCTATCTCCTTTCCGCTTTTGCTCTTTAACGGCACGGCCCATGCGTGCTTGCTCAATACATCGATAATGGTGAGTATGTAGTGGTGGCCTCCATTGAATCGCGAGTAAGGACGCATTTCCACCACATCAGCCTGCCAAAGATCATCATCATATCCACGCACTATGACGCGTCTGCGAGGAAAATTTCATCTCGCTGGAGCGTGTAATTCTTTCACTAATTGTTCTTTTTCGGGATGTTTCTTCTCATTATTTTTCCCCGTTACTCGCCGAGTCGTTTTCCCATCATGCGTGAAGCTTTGTCACTTTACACCGGCAGAAACAGCTGAAATAGTACCGATGAGTTGCTTCTCTGAACTTTTCTTCTTTTTGTTAAATTTTGACGATTGCTTCACCATTGCAGCTCGTGATGATCCGTCTCTTGCTTATGTCGATATTATATGTCGATTCAACTGCAATATTCTACTTTTATATTTTCGACGATTTCTTTATCTCTGAATCTGTCCAGTCTAAAATTCGTTCTATGTTCTCATGAATGCTATTTATGCTCAGTATGTTTTTCTTCCGGTAGTCTTCCACCTAATCCTTCAATTTTTTAACATTCTCATCTACATACTGCTTCGTCTCAACGTTACTTTCATGCAGTAGAAGCTTTACAGAATTTATATTCTCATCTATATACTGCTTCTTCTCAACGTTACTCTCATGCAGCAGAAGTTTTACAGACTTTATACTCTCATCCACATAATTTTTGTGCGCAACATCATTGAAGGCTCTCGGCCACGTTACATGATGTATCGCGTGCCCTGTTGCGTCAAAACCTTTACCATCAACGGTTAGACAAAGGGCATTTTCATGTACGTATCGTTTAGTTGCAACATCGTTCAAATGATTTCTCACACCTGCAACACATTCTTCCACGTATTGTTTGGTTGCAACGTCACTATCGGCTTCAGGCTGCGCTACATGTTTTATCTTGCGCGATTTTGCATCAAAAACTTTGGCAGCGTTTAAACAAAGGGCATTTTCATGTACGTAATTTTCAACTGTTCATTCCATTGATACGCTCGATCAGTTTTCGCACCATTGTTTTCTCGCGACACTCCAAACATATTCACCGACATTTCGGAACAAATTGTACCGACTGACTGACTTGTGTCAATGCCACGCTGCTTAATTTATAATGAGACCAGCTTCACGGAGTTCTTCGATAATCGATAAAATTTCGTTGGCGTGAGAGTCGTTGCCAGCTTGGCGCGAAGCTTCAAGTAATCGCAGACGATCCACCAGCTCGTTGGGATCATCCCAATGCACCTAGTCGATATTGTCATTTAAAGTCATCATAATTTGCGATGCGGATAAACCTTTTCCTCCCACTTTATTGCTCGACGCATCTGATACTAGAGGCGCGATTATATGTTTATATTTGTGTTCCCTGTTACCGAGTATAGGATTTTGCGGGAGGTACCCGCGTCTGTGAGTATTTGTCGCCAATAGTATATTTTTTTTGTATTTTTGCATATCAGCTTCGGTGTACACAGAATCGTCGGGGATTCTTTTGAATATTAGCTCGTAAACACCTGGTGTTCCAAAGTATCCTGTTTCGCCTATGATTATATTATCGACTCTGTCCACATCGATACGTTTATCACCGAGCATCGCTCCATCTTACTAAGACGTACGCCATAAACATAATCTATAGTGTTATCTTTTCCACTACTTAGCACAGCTCCCATATATTTTTGACCCAACGGACCAAAATGATCACGTAAAGTTTGTTGTCCTTTGTACGTCCGCAACTGACGTCTAACGGATGTCACTACCGGTTCATCGGGGTGTTTCAGAAACATTCTCATCATCATCAGCATCAGTTAGTAGATTGTCGATCAGTGAAGGTTCATGTGACATTCCATGTAGTTCCTCATGTTGTAGAGCTCCCGTCGATGTAGGAACTATCAGAGGATCGTTTAATAGTTTCCGTTTCGATGTAGTCAATGCGACTGGTGAAAGTTTTGCCTTACGCTTTATCTTTTTTTCGGGTTTTAATATTACATTCTTTGTTTCTTCGCTTGTACTCATTGATAGTGGCTCAGTTTTAACATCAACGTTACTTCCCACATTAGCGCTGCTTCCCGTGATTTGCTTGAGAAGTTCAATAATAGGTTTAAAGTGTCTCTCCAATGCAGCATTTTCCAGCATTCTACCAGTTTTCAAAGCGCCATACTTCTTGCGGATTGATTCGCTCGTTTTCGCAATCTCTTCCGCTACCTTTTCACGATCCATGATCTTCACGCTACTATTCATCATTGATATGTTTGCTTGTGGATGTTGAAGATGTTGCCACGTTGAGGTTACAATGACGATTGTGCATCTCACAGCACAGCAAAGTCATTAAATCCTTTCCTGTATCGTCCGTCGGTCATTGAGCTGTCCTTATCAATCACTGTAAAACCATATTTATCCTCCCAACATTTGCAATACAATGCACTGAAATCCTCATATGACATGTCAGTGTTCACATGATCGTTGTACACATTGTTCAAATTGGTACCATCCTGTTTAAAGAGAATCAGAAAATTTGCATTGTCCCGTATAAGATGCTTGGGTATTTTTGCGTACGTTTGACTGAGATAGAAACAGTTAACGCTCGAATGACGATCAATTGCAAAGTATTCTCTTATCGTATCTTGTTTGTTACATGCAACGTCATCAAAGATAAAAATGCAATTTTTGGGCGCTTCGGTCGTTGGAATCACATCGTTGTTATTGGAGTGATGTAAAGTATCCAATTTCATCTATCGATTTCAGCAGATTTTCCAAGTAGCGATATTTAGGTTGTTGCAACGATTTCGAGTACAAGTTCTCGAAACGTAGACGGTGCGGACTTTCCAACAAGCTGATGAGAATGTTTGTCTTGCCGCAATTCGAGGGACCGCATATGATGCCGCGTATAGTGTTCAGAAGCATGTTTCCATGCCTGCGCGCCTCTTGCTCAAGATTCTCATTCTCATTGATCAAGATTCTCATGCTCATTGATTCCGTTCTATTGTCGAAATTTGTCACACATATCAACGTCGGTTGCTTCACGAACCGCATGTTTCCCCCGTGAGTCGTAAAATTGATTTCGTTAACGGATCGTTGCCATTTAATTTAAATGTGACGCTGATTTAACTATATATATTTAGACGCGTCGATCTTGGAAACACTCAGTTTAGAAAATGTTGCTCCTGTTGACAGATACTCATGATATTCGAGAGCTAACTTCCGAACAACTAAAATATATACCGAAGATTGTTTTGTTACGCGAATTTGCAAAGTATATTGACGATTTGCAGGATAGACTTCCGGAACATTTAAAAGTCGATCCAGAAGTTCAGCAGTATCGTTGGTGTTTGGAACATTACAATCGTCCGTGGCAGCAAACACATATCGATGGTCCAGCACCGCTGATCAGGGACTGTAGTGAATGTCGTCGACAAAAGTCAAAGTCGGCAGTGGTCTATTGAATCGCGCGATAAATGTGCTTCCTATCGAACTACACATTCCCAGATATCAATTTTGTGGTCCTGGAACTCGCTTGATAAAACGATTGGCCAGAGGTGACCAAGGCATTAATTCATTGGATGCAGCGTGTCGAAAGATTCAACTCTAGGCGAGAGAGCTGCTGCTGCAGCCGTTTGGACTGCCTTGAAAGCCAAAACGAAAATCGGCATGGGCATGGGCACGGAGAAAAAGAAGTCGTCCAAGAAAGAAATCCGAAAACGAGCACTTCCAGTAGCAAAACGGGGTAGTATTTTACCAATTCTACCATTACTGGGAGTTCTCGGTTCACTAGTCGGTGGAGCGGCGGGTGTCGCAAAAGCGGTGAATGATGGCAAAGCCGCGCAACACTAGCTGGAAGAATTAAAACGTCATCATCGCGCAATGGAAGGTCGCGCTATGAAAGGTCATGGAATCTATCTTGCTCCTTACAAG